CCCACCCCATCCTACTCTAGAGGATAAGTACTGGTCTATGAACCACAAGGTTGGCGGTTTGAGCCTATCAGCAGAAAGAAGACGCTTTCTGTCTCCATAAAGATTCACAGCATCAGAAACCTTATACAAGGTTACTATGAGTCACAACTGGCTCAATGGCATCTAACAAGAACAACCATTTGATTTGAAGAAGACCATAGGTAGTCCTGGTGGGGCATGGTAGGATAAAGCAAGATCAGTTTGAACCACAAAGTCAGCAGTTCAAATTCACCAGTCAATCCTCGGAAACCCTATACAGGGTTGCTATGAGTTGGAACTGACTCGAAACACTTAAAAAACAAAATAGGGTTTTTGATGGCTGATTTTTCATAAGTAGATTATCAGGCCTTTCTTCCAGCCTTTGGGTGGACTTGAACTACTAACCTTTCAGTTAGCAGCTAAGAGCTTAACCTTTCGTACCACCAAAGGACTGGGCTCTAGCCTCACTGTCCATTAACTTACTGGGTAAGCACTTTGGGTTTCAGATTTCTCATCCATCCCATAAAGATAATACCCTCCCCCATCTCTCCAAGAGCTGAAGGGACTATACAGTTGAGAAGGTTGTTTGAGGACCTATGGTCCTCAAACCTGGGTGTCCGATCAAACAGTGGTGGGGGTAGGCTTGTTTAAGCACAGCGAGCTAGGCCCTACCCTATAGACTATAGTTCAGCAGGTCTAGTGTGGAACCCAGTCATTTGCATTTTATACTGGATTCAGGGAATGCTGATACTGCGGCTTCAGGAACCACACTTTGAGAACAACTGCTCTGCTCCACAGGTGAACTGCTGATGGGAAATTTCAGTCCCAGGTCTCACCTGCTTTCCATGCAAATTTGAAATGCAAATTTCCAGGCTTCACCCTAAACCTGCAGACTCGGAAACTTTGGGGGTGGGGTCCAACATCCAGTGTTTGAACAGCCCCAGGGTGATGCTGATGTTGCTAAAGTGTGAGAACCAGGGAGCTCCTCTGAGTCAGGAACCAGATTTCACTGGGAGGAAGCAGGAATGCTGAGGCCCCTCCCAGTCCCACCTTAACATTGTAGGACAAGTGGCTGTGAAAGGTCCCCACCAGGGAGGAGAGCAAGAGAGAGAAGCGATGCACAGTGTGTGGCTACCACTATTGACAGACCCACCAAGGGGGTTCAGAACAGAAACTCCAGAATCATAAAAAGACTAGGTTTACTGGTCTGAGACTGGTGGAATCCCCAGATGATGTCCCTTAGACACCCTTCAAACCTGGTACTACGTCCACTCCCGGGGAGTCACCTTTATAAAGTGAGCAGTAACAGCCATGAGGGACATGTTCCTCAGAACAATCAACCATATGAAACCCAAAGAGCAGCACTTGCCCCCAAACAAATTTTAGAAGCCAGGAAGGGGGAGGACAGAAGGACGAAGGGAACCCAGGGAGGAATGAAGTTATACTGTGGGGATTACAACTCATATCATGAAACAAAATGTGTATAAATTGTTGAATGGAAGACTAGTTTGCTCTGTAAACATTCACCCAAATCACAATAAAATGTTCAAAGAGAGAGAGAAGCAAGTGCAGGTCAGGGACTTGAGGCAAGGCCGGCTCTCAGCAAGGGAGGCTGAACAAGATGGACGTAGTTCAGGGAGCCAAGAGCAGAAAGAGAGAGCAGGTCTTTAAAGAGAAGCTGAGGGAAAACTGACTTCTAAAGGAGAAATAGAGGGTGTGTGTGTGTGTGTGTGTGTGGGTGGGTGAGAG